GGCAATTATTTGGGCCTGTGGGTCATATAGGGAATTTTGGAGAGCTCTTGCAGCCTGGGTCAACACCCCCCACTCCCCATCCCCATGCAACAGCTCACCAAACCTCCCTATGGGATTGGGCCGTGGGCAGGCAGGGAGCTGGATGGGGCATGGGTGGGTAGCAGCTTCAGCAGGGGCAGCTCAGCCAGAGCCCGTGCCACCACCAGTGCCACCTCCAGGCTGCCCTTCTACCCTGAGGAAGGGCTGGAGCTGCTGCCAAGTTTCGGTGTCACTGGCCAGGGTGCGGAGGAAGCAGCGTCCACGCAGAAGCTGCTGCTGTGCACTGGAAAAAAGAGACCTGGCAGCAAACACAGCTGCATCCCCCTTGCCGCTGCCAGGGCCCTTCTCACTGCAGCTGCCTTTAGTCTGCGCTGCTGCTGCTGCTGCCACCCCAGTGGGTGCAGGGGCCGGGGCAGCCTGGAGGGGGCGCTGGTGGCAGCAGCAGGGAGGAGCTGCAGAGCGGCCCTGGCACAGGCTGTAGGCAGCCACAGTGAGAAGGCCTCTGGCAGTAGCAAGTGGGAGGTGGCCATGCCTGCTGTCAGGTCCTGTTTATTCTTGGTGCCCAGCAGTAGCTTCTGCCCACCTCATTGTGGGCAGGGCCACATCTCTCTCTCTCTCTTTCTCTCTACCCCCTCTCCACTAGAACCATCCTGAAGCTACGGCACACCACAATCCACAATGGCCTGGCTCTGTCCATAGCTTATACCAGTTCCTACCCCATATGCTGGCGCCAGTATTATCTGTGGATGCTGTTGGCAGATACCCACTGGGGATCGGGGTATGCACTGCTGATGCCAGCATCTGTCCAGCACTGCTTCCAGTGTGTGGGGCGGAAGCTGGAAGCTGGTATGAGGTACGGACAGGGCCAGGACATGCACATGCACCGGCACAATGCAGCATCTGGAGCGCCGGCTCCCCATGGGCCGGACCCCATGACTTTGTGGCTCCTTACCTATGGACCAAATACAATCAGGTGGTGGGCTGTATTTTGTCCACCCCTGATCTAGCCATTCATCGTGGCCTGTCACTTGGTCTTGAGTCTTCCAAAGGCACATTCCACAACCACGTGGCAGTTGCTGAAGAATTAATAAAAGAGTTCATTTCTGTGCGCCAGAAATGTTCTGTAAGGTTTCATCAACCAAATTTCCATCAGGAGTATATAAGCAGGGTGAACAGGAATAAGGCGAAGGATGGTGGCACCATTTATTTCAATGCAGGTGTGATAGCTGTAACATCTATGATGCTCTAATTGAGGTTCACCATACCCTGCAAAACACTGGAGAAGAATCCCTAGCTATTTATGTATTCTAGTGAATGGTGTATTTTGAGCAGGGCTCAGAATGGGGGCATGCACATTTCACCCCCCCACCCCAGTCTGCTCTGGTGCAGTTAGTGAAAACCATGTGGGAATATTCTTTTAAGATTTATGGGACATCTTCATACCTGCGCACACCACCTTCATGGCTTTCTTGGCAACTGATTTGACAGTGCCAGACTATGGGCCGGAGACAGTTCGCCAGATTTCGTCTTCTATTACCACAGTTAAAGGGACTCACATATCGGTGGTCTACCTTTACAGCTCCAAAAACAGATATACGCAGATCTCCAGAAATGTACCCCTGGTCATGCTGTAGTTGTGATGCCAGTGATGATCACTGTGGATCTGCAGCCATATTCTTTTCACCAATCCAGGTTCACTTACCTTGTTCAGTAACTGCATGGCAGAAAGGACATTTGCACCCAAGCAATATTGTCCATGTTGGTTTGCAGAATTGTGTCATCCTTCTCAAGAATGAAGTCATCACGGTCTGTCTCTCCTGGCCATAGAAAACCATCTTGCACAGCAGGCCATGAAGAGTGACAGAGAAGAGGTAGTGAAACAGTCAGTGCAACTAACCCTTGAACACAGAAAAGCATGCAGCACTGAAGACTTAGTGTGAAGGGAACAGGGATCTGATTGATATTCTCATCACAGATTCCTAAGATCCACTGGATTCAGACTAATTCCCAGAAAACACTCCCAGAAGCCACTGGGTAGACCCAGTTACAGATTATACTCAACGGCTTACCAATGCCTACTGGCAGGGCATCATAATAGCCATAAATGCTATGGGGTTCACTCCAGTGTAACTAGCTAGGTCCTGGTTGCATGTTCATTGCATCTCAAGGATAAATTTACTCTGGCATATATATTGGTGTAAATTTCTTCAGTGTAAACACGTTGTGTATCTGCACCTGTTTGCATTCCTGGAGTGGACACTGGCAACTTTTAAACAGTACACACCATCTTTTAGATTGAACATCAGGAATATTGCACAATATAGTTCTTCAAAAAAATTCTCCCTTCCAACAGTTCACTAACCCTGACTGTGTTTAGCATGAACTCCTATAAGATAACAGGCTGGGCTAGAATACCTGCAGGATATCACAAAGATATGAGCATTTTTCAGAACTGGCAAAATGAACTGCTACTGTTTGTGCACGTGTATTCCATTCGCAGCTGGTCTTTGATGGGGAGCAAGAATAATTTTCTTTAAAATTAACTTAAAATAGTAAAACAATATAGTTGATCATATGTCAAAAATGGTGGGGATGACAAACTGATTATAGACATTTAACAATAAACGAACAGATAAGCTCAACTTCAGAGAACTGTACCCAAACCTCAGAGAAATAACCAAATGCATTTTGGGGATTGTCTACATATAAATGTTGCACCAAGTTGACTTAACTAATCCCACTTTTGTGGCAATTCTTGCATTGGTTTAGTTAAATCCATGTACCATTACACAGATGCAACTTCTTTCAGTAAAGTTGTCATATTTGCTGTTTTTCCTTGTGGTTTCAAGGACCTGGATGTAGTATATTGTGGGAATTGGATCAGGCCCTAAGAAATTAGTGGGCAGTTGTCTTTTGCTTTAGATAAGAGTTTGCCTCATCTCCTTCATAAGGAATGGCCTAGCACAGGGGTCAGCAACCCCTGGAGTGCATGCCGAGCATGGCACGGAAGGCCATTTTGCTCAGCACACCACTGCCAGCATGGGCTCTAAGCAGCTCCTGCCAGCCACAGAGCCCAGGTTGCTCCCAGCAGGTGGCTGGGAGGCTGCAAGCCCTGCTGCAAGCAGACCAGGCTCTGTGGGCTGGCTGTAGCTGGGAGGCTGCAAACAGCTGCTCCGGGCTCTGGCACGTCGGTACTCCGGCACCTTCCAAGGTAGACATTGTGCTTTTTTCTGCACTCTGGCCAAAAAACGTTGCCAACTGCTAGCCTAGCACCTCATTCCTGGCTATTTGACAGACTGGGGTTACATTGTGTGTCCTGGATAATATTTGTATATATGCTGTACCTACAGGAAATATTTACCTGTCTTTTTTAGGCTAAAATGTCTCTGTGTAAAATACTGGGTGTCCATACCAAAGCTGCTCATAATTAGCATTGAGTTATTTAATGTATTATTCTTTCTTTATTTTTTTTTAATGGACCCATCCTGGTATCTCATTATACATAACAAAAATATAAATATATCATGACGTGGTGAGTCTCATTTACAATAAATAGGATTGAAAAATATCACTGTCACCAGCCGGCTAGGTGCTGTGAGTGTATCAGCCGTGAGGCTGCTGGGTTCAGGATCGAGGAGGCGAGTCAGGAGTGAAGTAAAGGCAAATTTACTTATAGCTTAGCATACAACAGTTAACAGAAAGGTTAATGCGACAAACAGATAGTACAGTAATAAAGAGCTAATAGTGAATGATAACAACAAATAGACAGAATGACAAAGAGTTCTCATATGGGGTTGGCAACTTATCGGCAGTCCCTCTATGGCAGGTGCACGCCAAGTTGTTCCAGCGAAGTCAGGCGTCCCCAATCAACGCTGTCCAAGGGGTCACTGGGAAGGTCCCTTGGTCAGGATCCAGTCCTCACTCACACTGGGAGTCTGGGGTGCAGGCGTGGCACAGCGATGGTCCTTCTGTCCCGTCCTTCATGCTGGTCACCTAACATATGTGCTTCTTTATACCTTATCTGATGCTAATCTGTTGGCTTTAGAGCCACTTACAATCTTGCCCTATAGCTGTTACCCTATGGGCTCAAAAGGTATTAGAAATTATCATGAAAGGTTACCGCCCGAACTCAGGTTCACCCAATAAGCAAATTACACCACATTACTTTGAGGTTTCAAATTAGCATTACCTGCCTAAGCTCAACTCCTTAGTTTTTTATTCCTGGATTCCTTGGAATGCACTGATTATATTAGGTGGTCAGATCTGGTTATGGCTTGACCTTTAAAAAATGTGTTAGATCAGCTAATCTTGTAGCTCTGCTTATTTTGGGGGCTCAGTGGTCCCATGATCAGTGCAAACAGTTTCAACACTTTGGTTAAATTGTGACAGACAAATTCCACTTGCAGGTTGCAAACTTACAAGCTTTGCATTAGCTAATCTTAACTGCTTAAGACAATTACCAGATGCTTCCAAGAGCATATATTTTTTGATTTAACCCCTCTGGTTCTGGCTACCACACATCACTTCCTGTTATATATTGTTACTATGCTTTATAGAAATTTTGTTTCTTGTTTTTTAGGGTTTTTATATTTTTACCCTTCAAATTCTTATAGATGAATATCATATTCCCTTTTGCACTTATCAAATCTAGCTATACTTACTGAGTTATTTTAATCTTTCCTGCTAAAGTAATCTTGCAGCCCATAAAGAGGTAGAATATAATTTTGATGGTGGATGAAAGAAAGATACATAGCTGTTCTGAGATACTAATCTTTTTTAAGTCATTCTTAACTGAACAAAACAATGATTTACTCTTAAGTAACTGACACCTGAACATATGATTGTT